ATCTCTCTGATTCTTGAAGAATTCGCTTTCCCACGTACTCGCCAGTTAGTTCTTGTAGCTACTTTCGGAAAATTGTATTGAAATCCATCCCTTCTGATCAAAAGATGCTAAGCAAAACTATGACAAAAATCCTAAAGTCACGGATTCAGGAAGCATGAAGTTCCTTGATATACGACGAGATAGAGCTCGAGAAAGTTCTGTTCTACGCAGATCTGCATTGCAAAAATATGATCTATAAATTCGTCACATTCTTTTCCTCGTGATCGCATGTTCGATATTGTAGTACTGCCTCTACGCGTGCACGAGAGAGAGATGGCAATAACAACCTCTTTTTATTTCTTTTTCTAGTCTTGCCAATTCTTTCTGTCAACGCCCGATGGGTACAAAACGGGACGAGCGTTGCTGGAGGTCATGGATACGGCGGTGCTAGCAATCAGCTCGCTTTTGTTGGGAACCTCTTTGTTGACGATGATGGAACTGTGGTTATCCCTGATATTTGTAATAATCGTATTATGCAATGGAAGGTGGGTGATATAAATGGAAGAGTAGTCGCTGGTGGAAATGGCGAAGGAAGCCGTGTGGATCAATTGACACATCCAACCAATGTGTTGATTGACAAGGAGACAGATAGTCTCATTATTTGTGATTATGGCAATGAACGAATCGTTCGATGGTCTCTTCGCAATGGCACAACTCAAGGAGAAGTCCTCCTTAACGGTACTTGTTGTTCTGGATTAGCTATGGATGAACAGAGATATCTCTATGTCTGTAACTGCGAGAAACATGAAGTCAGACGATATCGAATTGGAGACAAAAATGGAACTCTCGTTGCTGGCGGAAATGGCAAAGGTGCTGATCTCAATCAGCTCAACATCCCCTTATGTCTCGTTGTCGATCGACAACAAGCTATCTACGTATCCGACTATGGAAATCATCGTGTAATAAAATGGAATAAAAATGCGGCAGAAGGCATCGTTGTGGCCGGTGGTCAAGGCAACGGAACTGCTCTGACACAGTTGTCAGGCCCTGCAGGATTGTTCGTCGATACATTGGGTACTCTCTATGTTGCAGATGCGCCCAATAATCGAGTGATGCGTTGGCGTCAAGGAGTGACACAAGGCACTATGATTGTGGGTGGGTTTGGAGAAGGAGCAGGAGCAAATCAGTTCAAAATGCCATATGGTTTGTCCTTCGATCGACATGGTAATCTCTATATCAGCGACAGTTCAAATTCTCGTGTTCAACGTTTTTCTCTCGAATAGACTCGATATGATGCTTATTTTGCTCTTTTTTTCATTCTCTTTTCTGTTAACTAAAGAACCTATTGTGGGTGAGAGTGGAAAATCAGCTACCATGATCTAGATTTCATCCAGACTAAAGAACTTTTCAAATGGTAATAAAGGTCGATAACGTTTAAGAGCCTATTTGGATCTTTTTGTTGTTTTCGTTACTAAAATTAATTGGATCATATATGAATCGATAGATTTGAGCCTTCTGATTATTTTGAGGGTGTGGGGTGTGAAGTGTGGGTGTGGGTGTGGGTGTGGGTGTGGGGAGTGGGTGTGGGTGTGGGGTGTGGGTGTGGTGGGTGTAGGTGTGGGTGTGAGTGGGTGTGGGATGTGGGTGGGTGTGGATGTGAGTGTGGGTGGGTGTGGGTATGGGTGTGTGCGGGCGTGTGGCTGTGAGCGTGGGTGTGGGTATGGGTGGGGTGTCGGTGTGGGTGTGGGTGTGAGTGGGTATGGGTGTGTGGGTGTGTGGATGTGTGGATGTGTGGATGTGGGTGTGTGGGTGTGGGTGTGTGGGTGTGTGGGTGTGGGTGTTCGTCTTCTCTTCACCCACACCCATATATAGACAAATCTAGTGGGAAAAGCCGAATCTTACCACAATTTAGAATTTTTGACCATGATATAACACCCCCA